AAAAAAAAAATCCAAGTTGAGCCAGTGCCATCTAATTCAAGCTGTAGTTATCGGATGCATACACAGAAACTGAAGCACCAAGAAAAGAAAAAATTCTCAAAACTGTCAAGAATATTAGTATGATATTACTCTCTCCTGTGAAGATTATATAAAAATCTGCTATGTTCAAAGAACTTCTGCTTAGAAACCTTTGACTCCCCCCCCCATGTTTTGAAGCAGACTCTGTTAGCACCTAGCTTTCCTTGCACTTGATCTATTTTATTAGGAACAAAGATTCTATTATCATGTGTTCTCTTCTGTACCTCTGTGTTGCTCTTGAGTCTCATGATCCCTAGACAGTGTCCAGAATTATTTTGACATAACCTTCAAATATCTGTCAGTAATAAGGAAAGTTAAAATATAACATCTTTCCAAACCTGGCTTACGTTTCATTTTTAATAAGTGAATGTATGAAGCAGAACCTAATTAAGGTGGACTGCAAGCATCTGAATGAAAGAGAGGTTTAAATCTCAGAACAATACATATCTTCCAACTTTCAAAGTTTTGGTGAAATGAGGGTGTTTTTTTTTAGTGTCCCATATTGGTGATAATATTAACCCAATATTTGCTGAGAAGGGATACTATAGAGCTGTTACTTGGGCTTAAGAAAACACAACTGACGAGAACTTTGTTCAACAGAGAAGTCTGATTTTTGATAGTCGTCACTGCATGTTCCTGTAACAGGACAAGGGGAATAAAGATTATATCCCAACTAGTTTTAGGCTATTAAAGCTAGGGTTCCCTAGCACTATAGAATAGAGAAGAATGCATATCAGTAGCTGACAGGAAAATGGGAAATACATTTACACATTCACACAACTACCCCTGTCACCTTACAAAACAACATAATGCAATGCAAAACGGGAAAAAAAACCCTGTTTAAACAGAAAACTAGTTCCTCCATAAGAATAAATCATACCTGCCACGGTGATATGAAAAAGTAAATAGGCAAGTTGATGTAAAACAGAAGATTACATTGTTTCATGGCTAAATTAAAACCACAGCAATAGTGAGACAGAGAGTCTATTATTAAATGTAATTTCCCTCTGTAACGCTTTTGCTTTTTTGCTCAAAATCTTCAAAATAGAAAAAAAATCAGAACAGCTGAATTAAATCTTCTCTGTACTAGTTGGCTATAAATATGTTGTCCAGATTTTCATTATATTATCTATTTCTAAAAAAATATGCTTAGGATTGCACTGCAGAACTTTATTTTCTTTCAAAAATTAGATCTACGATGACTAGGAAAAATTTCTTACAATCCATAATGGGGTTGGGGTGAATCTTATTAAAACATTATTGTGCTTCTTGCTATTGTCCATCAGGGACACCTCCTGCCCCCCGCTTAGCTAAACCTAGCCCTGGTAATGCATATCTATGCCTAAACTATGCAGTTAAGCACTTATGTAATCTCCAGGGTAACCCACATGCACAGACAAGCTTTTCCTGTACTCCTGGAAGTAGCCACGTATCTGGAAAATACTATTACCGGGCTGTTTTAGTATGTAACTGGATTATAAGAATACATGTGCCACCCACACCAAGTTACTGTAGGAGTAGAGAATGCTTTGGGTTGGGGATAACTTTGAAATTTTGAGGATGTAGGTGGGTGCTCTCACAAAATGGCTAGTCCCAGAATATTCATTCATCAAATATAAGCACATTCTCAAGATGTTTTCTACCACTTAGAGGTTTTTCTGCAGGTAAATCTGGTACTAGATGCTATAGCTTTCCTCGGCAGCACACCAGCTTCCTTTTCAAAGTTGTTTACCGTATTACAAGAGAAAAGTAGATTGCAAGATGACTACGAGCCCCATATTGTCTGAGTTACTGAGGAATTGTTATGAATAAAGCCAGTCTGAAGAAGAGGATGGTAATCAGTTATGAGTATTTTGCTTTATCTATAGTTTACCACTTGTACAAACATATCACAAAAGATAGTTGTTTTTTCTTCCCAAGTGTTGTTTAAAACAAGGCTTTCCAGATATTGCTGAATAGCAACTCCCAGTATATCTTGCTGCTGGCCATGCTGCTGGGAAGTGCAGTTAACCAATGTTTGGAGGTCACAGGTTTAAAAACGTTAAGATTCAAGTGTGCGGGACATGTATGCTCTGACCTAGAAAAATTATCTGATTCCCAATATGTGATCATCTGTAATAATTCAACAGTGAAGAACTGGTACTTGTATATGCTCAGAAACACGTTAGTTTATTATGTTTTATTACCAGGTCTAGACCATGATGACATGATGATCCATAAAGTTGTCATAGTGTTTACTTCATTACAAGACATTTTGCTATGTTGCTTTCCATTTCTCCAACCTGCCGCCCTTCAGATGCATTGGATTTCCCTGCCCAAAGCTTACCTGAAGATCTTAAGTCCAACATACCTAGAAAGCAGCCCCAGGTTGGGAACAGCTGGTTATGTGACAAACACATGCAAAACCTGAGAGGTAGTATAGTTGTCAAGGGATTAAACAAGGGTAAGAAGATCAAAGCCATTCTTAGCTAAGAAGCTCACTAAGGACCAAACATTTTCTCTCAGTCCAACCTACCTAGAAGATAACCCTGATTTTCAGATGAACTGCACCCCTGGGAAGTTAGGGAAAAAATGTCTGCCTATTACTGTACTATGAATGAATCTAGCTCAATCCTTCCATTGTTGAAGATGAAAAGAAATCCTAGTGTTTTCTTTCAGGTGGCTCTTTCAAGAAAATGGAATGCCATAGTGGTCTAGAACAGGGCTAAGCAACAGGATGTCCTCCAGATGTTTTTCACTGCAAGTCTAGCAATCCTTTGCCATTAGCCAAGAGGCTGTACTCTAAAATGTCTAGATTGTTTTTCTTGAGTTTCTCCATAAGGAAAAGCAGCGCCGCGTAATTTGCCCTGCAAAAAACAAAAACAGAATAAAACAAGATTTTTGCTCTGCCACTATGTAAGCAAGGCTCTGCTGTCATAAAAACAAGTTCCACAAAATTTCCTGCGCACAATGTACTTTTTATCACGAATTAAAAATTAGTTCATAAAACTAATTTTAACCCTCCAGAAGGTACTTCTTGGATAAGCTGAAAACGCATTTGCTGTTTTCTTTCTCAGTATTTAATTGCTTCAAACACCTCTTGGAGGCTAGGTTCCGGTTACCGGATATGGGCTACAAAAATCTGGATGACGACTTGATGGTAGCAGAAATATATTTGGAAACTCTCGACTCCTCACTGCCCTCTAGTGATGGCCTGGAGTTTTGCAACCCAGATTTGGTATCCCTCCTTTAAGAAAGTTAGGAACACCCATCGATTCTTTAGCTCCAGCTCCTGAATCTGAATTAAAGTTAGCAACACTGAACACTGTTCCAATGGCAGGAAAAGGTTCGTTTAATTTTTGGAGCGCATTTTCCCCTCCTTCCCCAAAAAGATATACCCCACGGCTCGAGAATGGCTCTCTATCCAGAGCCATCCTATCCGTGTTGACTCGGAAGTAAACTGTGCAAATGTTCCAAGGGGCGGACTCCAAAATCAAGCTGTACCGCTTACTTTAGAGTAAGTCCCACTGAATTCCTTCCAGTAAACATGTAACAGAGGATGCGGCAGGTCTGGTAAGTCTTTCCCCCGCTGTCGTTTATCAGCTTGCAGAGCAATACTTCGCCGCCCTCTCTTTTAACGCTCTCCGTAGTAGCGTCATTCGCTATGTAACCATTATTTCGGATCGCCGAGCCGATCAGCCCCCGATCCGCATTCCGCTTGGCAACTTCTGCTTCTCAGGCGTGCAGCTTCTCCTAGCTCAGCCTCCGCCCCCTCGGTGCGCTCCCTCCCTCGCCGTGTGGCTGGCTGGCAGGAAGGATGGGAGAGAGGGAGGGAGTGAATGAGCGAGCGAGCGAGCGAGCTGCAGATGAGGGTTAAAGGTGCTGCTGGCTGGGAAGTTTGAAGAAGGTCGCCGCTTGTGAGCTCCAGCAGCATCATGGCGGAGCAGAGCGGCTCGCCCGTGCACGTCCAGCAGCCCCAGCCGGCGCCGCTTGCACCGCCCCCGACTCCTACTCCCGCACCTCAAGCCGTCGGCTGGCCCATTTGCCGGGACGCCTATGAACTGCAGGAGGTGATCGGTCAGTGGCATAGAAGGGAGCGGCTTCTATCTCTCTGGGAGGGATGGCTGACTAAGGGGAGAGAAGTAGTAATGCTTCGTCAGCCGGCTTTGGGGCCTACCGGCGTTTTGTGTTACTGAAGCCCAGCAGCTCTCATTGCGGCGGATTCGCCCGCCACTGCAGTCTCTGCCGCAGCTGCAAACTTGACTTCCTCCTCGCCTCGCACCTTCCTCTCTTGCAACGTTCCATCGGTTTGGGGGGAGGAGGAGGAGGAGGAGGAGGGCGGGCGCGTTCTAGAACGCTCGGGGCCGGCTCCTTGCCTGTCTGCCTGGGGGGGGGGCCGCGGCGCCCGGGGGAGCATCCGAGCCTCACCCCCCGCGTCCTCCCTGGCTCCTTGCTTTCCCCCTTGGGTTTTCTCGCAAGTAGTATTTTGGCTCTTGCTGCCCTGAGGTAGATCGCCTCGAAGTTGCCATGGCACTTCTTTTCGTCTTCTAGAATATCGAAAAATCCTAACTTTTTTTCCTCCTCTTTTGCTGCTGTTATTACACCCAAATGGCGAAATGTAACTAATCACTGACCTCTCCTACTCTGTCTTTCTTCCGCCTTCCTATTACATCTTTTGTCCAGCTGCAGAGTCTCGCTGATGTACAGTATCCAAAAATCACATTTCCATTTTAGATGACTTGTAGAATTGGCTGTATATCTCGCTGCTGGTGCAGTCAAGTTCCGGCTCTGAAATTGCCCTTTTCCAAATCTTTTAATTGCTGTCCTACCCCTTTGGTTTAATTTTATATAAGTATTTTATTCTTAAACAGGCTTTTTGTGTGTGTGTAGAAAGGCACTCCAGTTGCCATTCTGAGCTTACAGTTTTAATTTAATTGCCCAATCATTCCTCTGCCAGATTAACATAGAGATACTATGCTAGTTTTTATACAGAGAAGCAGTGTTAGCCCAAGGTGCTGCATTTGTTTCTGATTTCTCTTCTGTTCCTGGGAGAACAGAGCCCAGCCGGGGGAGGGGAGTGACTTGGATGCTCTCTGTTGGTTTTCCTGCTAGGTTACAGATAAGGAGGCCAGAAATCAGCAGGGAAAGCCAAAAAAACTAACCGGAATCCAGGAATCCTGTTATTTTGCAAGCTGGACTCTCCAGCCATCATTGAGTAATCTGGCCTCCAGTTCATCTTGCAGTTGTTCTAACGCTGATCATCACCAATTGCTGAAACACCAAAAAGGAAATAGAAAAAACAAATGGGAACTGGCCTTCGGTCTGCTGCTCTGACCCAAACACTTGGAGAGATTCAGACATTCTGTGTGTGCTCGCCTTGGAGATGCAGTTGTTCTATGTTCCATCTAGCTAAAAGTGGTTAAGTAGAAATCTCTCTCCCCCCTTTTTTTCATCATTTTTTTTTTCTTTACTGTCTGTCATTCATGGGGCTTTATTTGTCTTATGGTGGTACTAAAACAACTTACAGAGCACCTTTCAGGTATCTAAACTATCCTCTTTTCTGATGTGACAGAAGTCTCTAGCAAGTTTCCAACTCTGGAGTTTGGCATTTTGCAGGCATGCTTGTGAATTGACAACAGCTGAAGAAAATATAGGAAGAATGACTTGATCTTCTACTTCCTTAAAGAATGAGGTCTCTGTGGCTCACTGAAATTACTCAGCCTCAATAATTTGAGTGGTTTACCTTTGAATGGATCTCTAGGATTGCATTATTCTATTAATTAGATACTCTCAAACATTCAGAAATAAGTATGCTAATATCAGCTCATCAAGAAAGAGCATTACAGGGATAATAAAATCACTGTAACCAACCAGGTTTCACACTCAGTTATGCAAATATCTGTGTTTTGTACAATTTTTGTTTGGAAAAAATGAAACTGTTTCTGTAGGAGGATATGAAATAAGGTATGTCTGTATTGAAGGCTAATTAAGTAAACTGTACCTTGTGCTGAATATTTAGACTTTCAAAAATACTTTTCTGGTAAGACAAGCAAATGGAAGGTTTGCCATCCATTATTTGTAATTAATTGGAATTTATAAACCTTTGTGAGGAAGCAGTCAGAAGCTGTATAGGGATAGCTCCAAGCCATTTACACACATGTTGTTAGATTTTTATCCCGCCTTTTTTATATGTAAATCAAGGTGGAGAACATTATTAATTCTCCTGCCTCCTATTTTCCCCACAACAACCCTGTGAGGTGGGTTGGGCTGAGAGAGAGTGACTGGCCCAAAGTCACCCAGCTGGCTTTCATACCTAAGGGAGGCCTAGAACTCACCATATTCTGCTTTAAGGCCAGCACCTTCATCACTACAACAAACTGGCTCTCAGTCGCCTAAAGCTGTTGACCTTTTATCTTACAATTCAGTCTTCAGCATTTTTGTTTACAAGTTGGTCCTATTGAAGTTTCCTATCCCTACTCAAGTACTTGTTTAGATCTGTCAGATCTGACTACCAAAAATCCAGACACCCCGTTCATGCAAGCAAAGAGATACAGAAAGTGATTGCAGATTTTTGTAGCCCAAATATGGTAGCCCTAATTTATTTAATAAAAAGCCTATGCATTAAAATAACACTACTTGCATTAACCCTTCCAAAACTCTTAATATATCCTAGACTCATGCCAGAGAATTCTGATCATCTGTAAGTCTCATTAATCTAAATTAATTGCATAGTATATTTAAATCAAGGTAACAATTTAAATTCAGATTGATATAGATCCAATTTTCTAACTTGGATTAACTGAACAAATATGCATATTAATTGGTTGCTATAGCAATTGACATGTAGCAGTTTGTAGCAAAGAGATTGTTTGAATGATGGAGGAGCATAATCTGAAACCGCCTACTGTCCATAAGTTTTTTGAACTACCAAGTGTGTCCTCTTAAACTAGGGAGCTGTAGTAATATTAAGAATCAGTGTCCAAAATGTATAAAGGAAACAATATAACAATTGGTATAGTTTTTATGTTTTTTGTAATTTTATATATATTTATTGTTTTAATGGATTATGTGAGCTGCCCAGAGTCCCCCATTGGGGGAGATGGGTGGAGACAAATCAGATCAATCAATAAATAAAGCATGATGACTAATAGAAATGTATATTTGGGAGTAAGAACCATTGAGTTCAACTGGGATTATTCCAAAATAAGGTACTAAGCATGAAGACTCTGATAATGTTTGACCTCATGAGTCTGACATTTTTGCCCCAGGTTTCTTACAAAGAAAAGCCAGCTGTAGTTGCCAATCTCTATATAATTTCAAATTACAATTCATCTTTATATCTCTGTTTAAAGCAGAGATGGGTAAACTGCATGTGATTTTCTAGAGCAATTTGTGGCATCTTTGCTGCCTCCCTCCTGGTGGCTCACCCACAGCCTACCTACTACAAATCTCACTTCAGATTTGGGGCACTTTTTGCATGGGAGCACGCATCCAGATCAGATGCAAAGCCACAAAACAGTTCATTACCATCGAGGTAGCTGAATAGTTAGGCTAGGAAGTGGTTTGTCCTATTAGACTGGTTATCTACAAGATGTTTTAATAATATGATTGAGTCACAAGTCTTGGCAGCATATTTGACAACAAGAAGTACCAGAAGATGCAGATTTAGGTTTCAAGTGTACTCCAGGTGGTACTTAACATGGTGGTTCCTCCTTCCCCCAGATGTTAAGAAAATAGATAAAGCAAGTCTTCCAGTTCTTTCCACAATTTAAGGAAAAAGAACCTTAAGAAGACTGGCTCAACCACTTTTCATTTCCTCCTTTCTCTCGCTATGCCCCTTAAATACCCAAAAATATTGTGCGTTCCCTGTATATCAAAATGCTTCCCACACCACCTTAAAGTATAGCCCAAAATATTTCCCAACCTTGCCTTAAGATATAACCCAAATTCACAATTTCAGAAGGTCTCTAGCCCTCTAAGAAATGTTGGCTTATTTTTTTCCCCCATTGTTCACTTGCTTGGAGGAGGATTGTGCCCATGCAGATAAAATTAAATCATTGCATTTTCTTATAAGAGTGCAGTTCAAGAGAAATTTCTGCTAATATTCCGCTTGCTTCCAAGAATAACCCAAAATACTATAACTAAAGCCATTTTAAAGTGAAACATTAAAAGCTGTGCTGTTCATATAAAGCTGTTTTTCCAAGATGGTGAGGCTGTAAGTATGACAACAAAGGAAAATTATAGTGCTTCTAAGAGCTAGTCAAGTGAATTTTCTTAACTTTGTGTTGTTTGCACATTTGGGAGGACAAGAGAATACTTCCCAGATTGCCCTTAATGGAAGATTATGTTCAGTTGAGAAATTATACAAAGATGTTCTGAATTTTCTGGGGGTGGGTGGGTTGAGGGTCATTCCTGCTTTAAAACTGAGGGGGATGTCTTGGAAAGAATAGGGCAGGATCAGTAATACTCTCATAAACAGTTGAAAGAGTTTGAGTTCACATAATTGTCTTGAATTGTTTTAATATTGTTCAGATGAACCATACTGCATTAAGCCATGGTTTACCAGCTGCAATGTTTGCTAAAACAAACCACATTATGGCTCAGCATCTTATTAAGGATAAAATACAGAAAGTTCTGAAAATGTCCCAAGAACAAAATTTAACTAATTGGATTCACACATCTTATTAACTGATAATGTGGTTTGTTTAGTTTTGACTTAAAGTTATTGGTTGCAAACCCTGTGTTATGGCATAAGTGTCCTCTGTGAGCTATTATCACTGGCTTCACACACTGCACAAAGCCATAGTTTACCTCATCATAGCTTATTAAATACATCACCAGGTTGGATTCAAACATTGCACTAAGCCAAGACCAAACAGTCCATGGAATGGTTTAGTTCAATGGGTGAAATAATCACTCTGTGTATGTAATCATAGCCTGAAAACTGCACATTGTTACCTTAATTTAAATTGCTCACATGTCCTGTGAACATTTGCAATGGGCTGGCATTGCTCATAAAAGTCACAGCTGTTTAATATCTGAGCTTCCGAGAAACGCCTTAGAAAAGAATAATTAAG